TGGAGGTCACAAGAGTCTATCAGATCCCCTGGGACTGGAGTTACGGACAGTTGTTAGCTGCCATGTAGGTGCTGGGATTTGGACCCAGGTCTTCTGCAAGAACAACCAGTGTTCTTAACCGCTGAGCCATTTCTCCAGCCCTGAGAAATATTTTTAAACAGTAGTATGCTAGAGGGTGACTGATGGATACTCCCAGAGTGCTGAGCAATGTAACAACAACCTTAATTACTGGCCAAAAATTTGTTGTTAGGATTCAGTTAGTTAGTGTTCTATAAAGAGACTGAGGCTATTTCATGGACACTTCCTCACTACAAATGGTACTAATAGACCAACCTCAGGAAGATTGTTAGGGATTCGTGCCGGTACTGAAACTCCCAGTGTTGAATCTCTACTACCCAAGGTGACGAAGAGAGCATTTATGGTATCTTTAAGGCTAAACAAGGTAATAGGGTAAAACATTAATCCAATGGGCCCAGTGTCCATAGGAGAGGGTTATAGACATAAGGAGTCTTGTACACAGAGGAAGGCCAAAGGACTTTGCAAAACAAGGGCCTGTAGGTGATCTGTATAGGCCACAAGACAAGTCTTGCAAGAATCCAACATTGTATGACACTTAACTTTGCACTTCAGTCATCAGAATTATGAAGAAAGAATTTATATCATAAACAATCCTAATATTTAGTATTTTTAAGTGTTCACCTGGGAACATTCATAGAAAAAATAGGAGTGGAAGATTTATATTGATGTATTTGGATGCAATTATGCTGAGAAAATAAGCAAGCCTTAGCTGTGTATAAGTGGAAATAAAGGTTTTGTAAAGTAAAGGTAACTATTGTTAAGATCTACATAAAATATACTGTCAGGCACACAGGATTACTTTAATAAAGCTGGTCAATGAAGCAACAGTATTTACATACTGTCCACTGTGTTTATACACATGATTTTTACTTACTGCATAAAAAGTCCTATCTCATAGACTCCTTAATAGAGAAATAGGAGAAAAGACTAGCAAGAATTCTATTAATCTAGGACAAGTCAGACATAGAAATACAAAGAAATACAAGAAAAAAGAAATGAAAGAAACCATGACCAACAACCTCAGAAAGGACACAGAAATGTGTCCAAATGTACCAGAAATTCCTAATGAGATACAGTAGTCAAAAAAGGCATACTATAACTTTAGATTTGTACATATTTACTAAATGTCTGTATATATTGTATACTATTTTATATAGTACAATATTTTTATTTTGTATATCTTAACATTTTATAGATTTAATATTATGCATTATGTCATATACAAA